AAAAATTCTTTGGCTCTCTCCGGGCCTAATTCTTGCATTATTACATGGACCAATCCTTGTTGGGATGTTCCAACAGTTCTTTTACAAACTATACCACAAAGCAATTCACCATCTTCTATTACTACTCTAGTGTCACCAGGTGAAATATCTGTATTCTCGTTGTCAGGATGAGTAGAATGACGAAGATTGTCAGAATTTATACCCTTAGGTATGATCATGCTTAGAATTTGTTTACCAGTCCATAAAGGATATGGTTTTATGATACATGGTATAGGAAGGATTCCATCCCAGTTAGATACCCACATCATTATATTCATCACAAGATCCTTTGTTAAAAAGCAATCTCTTTTTGTGAATTTACGAACAGCACATAAAGTATCTTGCACAATACCCATGACTGGTTTATTCGATTGGGGCGATACGATTTGTTTTGGTACCATGCAAATTTCGGATATTTCAGCTTTGGTTTCGACGGATTGAGGAACATGCATATTCATCTCATCACCATCAAAATCAGCATTATAAGGAGTTGTCACGGATAAATTTAATCGAAATGTTGAATATGGCATCACACGAACTCTATGTCCCATCATTGACATTTTATGTAATGACGGCTGACGATTAAATATCACTATATCACCATCGTTAATATGACGTTCCACTTTCCAACCTAATTGTAGTCTAACACTAGAGGCTGAGCTTAATGTGTACTTGAGATCTATTCTTTCGCCTGTATCTCTTATAACATATTTAGCACCAGGATGTTCGGTAGGGCCTCGTTCAACCAAACTTTGTAAATGTGGAAGATTAAAAGGCGTTACTAATTCTGGAAATGTTAAATTTTGAGCTATGCTACGAGGTACACCAACTTCATCAACCGATATGTTTGGATCACCAGTAATTACTGTACGAGCAGAGAAATCTACACGTTTACCCATAAGATTTCCTCTAAGACGACCTTCTTTACCCTTTAAACGAGCTCTTATGGATTTCAATGGTCTACCCGATTTTTGTAATGCCTGGGGTTGTCCAGCTATTTCATTATCCATATAGGTTGCACAATGAAACTTGTAGGAATAAAATAAAAATTCTAAATAATCTTGATGTGTGTAAAGGTACTGTTCATCTCTGTAAGCAGCATCAAGATAATTATTTGATGCAAAAAATCTGGTCATGCTGCCATGTGATACTGTTGTATTTTGTTCTAATTGAAATTCTCTAATCAGCAATGATACCATGACCATTTTCATCAATGTAAATATTCATGGGAGTCACATCTCAATGACAATAACCTATATTTTTAACTAACTCTAAAAATTGGGCTATATCTTTTATAGCATTATGAATGGAAAGTGCCTCTTCTGGTAGCAGATCTGCTAAACATTTCTGATAGAAAGGTATTACAATTGCATAATAGTTCTGGTTTTCCAATATGACATCTCCATGGTCTATTACTGTGGTATTCCCATCTCACCTTTTGAAATACTTTCATTGATAAATTTTAAGACATTGTATTCATGTGTTAATCTTTCCTTTCTCCCAATTTTAGCTACAATATCACTGCCATATGAATCTATAATGCCTTTAAGAATCATTGGTTTTGATCTTGAATTATATCTTATGATATGTAGATCCTTTATTGCAATATTATGAATACTTTTTTTAACAACACCGACATAGAGATGTTTCAATTATTATTTAATGATTAGAAAAAATCGTTATGC